AAACTGTTTTTAAACAGTAAAGATACTTAAACAAAAATCCTTAATCCATAGAAATGTATTTAATCTAGCAAATCTAGTAAAAATGCAGGCTACAAGACCAACATGCAAAAATCAGTTGTACAGGGCTACACACACTGATGATCACCAAAAGTATATTTAATGTAAAAACCAATTTCATTCAAAATATATCAAAGAGTAAAATATTTAGGAATATATTTAAAGAGGGGTATATGGGATATCCAATGAAATATACAAAATTACTGAAATTTTAAAAAGATCTATGTCAGGTGTGGTGGCACACACACCTATAATCCCAGCACTCAGGAGGCTGAGGCAGGAGGATCACCATGAGTTCAAGTCCAGCCAGGCATACACAGTGAGTTCAAGGCCAGTTTGAATTATATAGCGAGACCCTGTCTCAAAAAAAAAAAAAAGAAAAACAAGAAAGAAAAAAGAAAAGATCTGAAATTGCTATCTTGTGTTCATGGACTGGGAGATTTAACATTAAGGTGACAATATTCCCCAAAGTGATCTATAGATTCAACACAAAGTGATCTACAGATTTAGAATCTTAATGATCTTTTTACAGAAATGGAAAGACTAGCTGGGTGTGGTGGCACACGCCTGCAATCCCGGCACTCTGGAGGCTGAAGGAGGAGGAACACTGTGAGTTTGAGGCCAGCTTGGGGTACATAGTGAGTTCAAGGCCAATGTGAACTACATAGCAAGACCTTGTCTAAAAATAAATAAATATGGAAAAAAAATGGAAAGGCTGATTGTAATATTCATAGGGAATTACATGGGACCTGAAGAGCTAAAACAGTCTTGAAAAAAAAAAAAAAACAGAATTGAAAGACACACACATCCTGATTTTTAAGTTTTTTAAAAACCTATAGTGATAAAAACGATGCTGCAGTGGCGTCACAACCCATATATGGATGGAATAGAACTGTGAGTCCAAGACACCCACACAGTGCTTGTCCACTGATTTAAAAGAAAGGTGACAAGACCGTGCAACCGGAGAAAGAGTCTCTCTGACAAACCGTGTTGACACAGTGACACCCACAAGCCAAAGGAACCTCTCTCTCATGCCATATACAAAAAATAACTCAAATGAGACCAACATTTAAATGTAGGCAATGCAACTATAAAATTCTTACAAAAAACAGTACGTCTAAAATTCTAATGAGCTTGAACCTGGCAATGGTATCGTACTATGACTATAATAGTGCAAGCATCAAAATACATTAAATGGATTTTATTAAAAATTTTGTGCAAAGGACAGCATCAAGTGACTGAAAAGACAACATGGAGAAAACAGTAGCAGATATTTGAATGAAGAATTCTTACATCTCAGTAACAAAAAGAGAAACCTCTTTAAAACACAGGCAAAGGAAGTGTACAAATGGCATTAAAAGCACATGATGAGATGCTCAAGCATCACTCAATAAAGAAATGAAATTCAAAACCACAGTGAACTACCACTTCACCCCCCAGGATGGCTCTCATAAAAACAAAACCAGCAAACAGCAATTGTCGATAAGGGTATGGAAAAACTGGAACCTTTACACATTGCTCGTAGAAATGTAAAAGGATGCAGCTCCTGTGGAGAAACTGGTAGTTCCTCAGTACATTAACACAGAATTCCCATTGTAACCCTGCTAGTTTCCTCTGGAGCATATTCCCAGATGATTTTAAAATAGGGATTTAAACAAATATTTGTAGACTAATCTTCACAGCAATATTATACAAATTACCTCAGAGATAGAAACAACTCAAATATCTAAAATCTCACCTGATAAAATATTGTTCAGCCATAAAAAGGAATTAACGTCAGGTATGGTGCTACATGCCTATAATCCCACCACATTGGAAGGCTGAGGCAGGAGAACTCAAGTTCAGCCTGAGTCCAGCCTGGGCAATTTAGTGAGAGCCTATCTTAAAAGGGATTAGGGATTGGAAGCCTTGACAATGTGCTGAAATTAAAGAAATACGATACAAAAGGTGACATAATGATTCCATTAACAAGAAATATCCAGAACAGGCAAATCTACAGAAAGAAACATCACGGGATTCCAGGGCTGGAGAAAGGGGGAAATGAAAAGTGACAGCTTAATGGGTACTAGGTTTACTTTTGGATTGTGCTTAAGTACACAGTGAGGATAGCTATGCAATACTGTCAATGTACTAAATGTCTGAATTACATACTTTAATTACAATAAAAAAATTAAAAATAAAGATTTTATTCCAAGAATTAGAGGATAAATAAGAATAATCTTGTTTTGTACCTTACAACATTGTTACGTTCCAGTACGTCTAATGCAATGCATTCATATATTCTGTATCACATTAAAAAGGTTCTACAAAACAAAAGATTTTTTTTAAGACTGCCTCTCATTACATAAGTTTAGGCTGGACTTGAATTTATGGTGATCTCTGCCTCAGCCTCCTGAGTGATGGGATTGCAGGCATGTACCAAGATGCCTGGCTGGTTGTTCTTCTTTCTTACTGTACTAAACATGACTTCTAAGTATATTAAATATGAAAGTATATTATGTGTCCATTTAAAAGAAAAAATATCATTTCTTCTAACAGCAATGCAGGAAAAAGAAAAACTGAACAAAGTCCTGGATTTGAACCTATTCACTACTCAAATGTAAAGCAAGTTTTGTTTTGTAGGCAACTGAAAATGTTCATTAATAAAGCATCAGCAAAGGACACCATTTAATAAAGCATAATTATGTAAATTCCCATTGGTGCCATTTTTTTAATGAACAATTTATTTTAGGAAGTTTTATGTAAATGAGACAAAAAAATGTGCTCATAACACTCTGCCATTTGCAGCACTGAAACGTAACAGTCATTAAACAAAAATAGCTAATTAAAAAGATTCATGTATAGTAACATTAAAAAGTCAAACTTCTCAAACCTTTAGACACAGATGCCTACATGGAGTAACCTCATTTCCTTAAGTGTACACGCACATGTATGCTATGAATTTCAAGAGTATGGCAAGATGTCATGTCAAGACCATTCAGCAGACTCAAGGAATTCAAAGAACTTTAATTACCTACCTTGAAGATCCTTAGAAATTTTCCTCATTTTTCACCATACCCTCCCCACACTCCTACAGCACTGTCTCAAAACTGCTACAAGAATAGGAAAGAAAAATTTTAAAAATAAAGCTGACAAATGGGAATTCATTAAAGGAAATCATTAGGAAGATCTGAAGTCTTGTTGTTTTATAACTTTCCTACAATATTCAAATTTTAAAGATCTTCCCCAGAAACTCTTTTTTAAATAAAAGTTTTATTGAAGAAAAATAGAACCACCACATACACAGGGAAAAGAACAAAAATTCAACTGATACACAACTGAAAGTCACAATTACCCAATGTAGTTTGCAACTACTCTTCAGTTTCTTAAACAGCTCCCCTTCTTTAATAATCTTGCTAACTTTTCAGCTGAAATGCTATCAAATTCATGAAGAATTAAAAACCTCAAGGGAATGGACCTGCTTTGAGATAAGGAAGGTGACATCAAGAGATTCTTCCTAGAAGGACCAACTCCACCTAAAAATTGCTTAAGAGTAACTACTGAGACTGGTTAAACAGTCTGCATATCTCAGAGACCATCAGGGACAAGTTGGAACACTGATGTAGACGGCCCCGT